GGTGTTTTCCTCTGCTGATCATCTATTAGTTGGATAAATTATGATCAATATCTTGAAATGAAATGAAATTTGAAATGAAATTTTATTCGAACATGATACAAATACAAATATAAAAATAAAATAGTGCACAGTAACAAGAAGTGCATAAGAAAGAAGAGAAAATACAGATTTTTTTGTTTCAGTTAACATATGCTCAAAATGGGGTAGGAAGAAGTGAGAACTTATAAACTCCTACCTCTAAACACTTGAGACTTTAGAGTCCTACTGTCATTAAAAAAATCAAAATCAAAGTAGCAGTCAGAAGTAACAGTTACTAATATTTACCTATACATTTTCCCATTTTATTCTGGTTTGTCTTTCTAAACCCTTACACCAAGTTATCTGCAATACACACCTTATTGCTTTCCATCACCCGTATGTGTATCTATTGAAAATTACCTCTTGGACTCAGTCCAACTGCTCACTGGTTTCTCCTGAGGGTCAAGAGTATTGTTGCCATGACACAGAGCATCTTCTGACTAACATGCTCAGGAAGCCCCACAGTGTTGAGATCAAACACTCAGGAGGAACCTGCTGCATCCATGACACATGCATATTCTCAGATATCCATTCAATAAGACGTAAGCTGTCACTTCAGATCTAAATCATTTAAATATGCACAGATTTACGGTGAGGAAAGAAGCCATTATGAAATTAGAAAGAAAGAACAACAACAAAAGAAGGTAACGGATCTGGCTCAGAGAACTTAACAGAAACCTCAGCATTTCCTATCTCTTATCGGTGAGGCTGAAAAGTTGATGCTGTGATACATACATGGATGATCAGAGTTGGGTAGTTCTCCTCCAATCTGCTTTTGAGCCACAGGAAGTCCTGGTAGCGTCGCCGTACTTCATACTCGCTGGAGTCGAACTCGCTGCAGGTGGTCTGGAGAAAAGATCCAGATGACAACTTCCATCATTTTTTCTTTTATTTCCTTTATTTAACCAGGTAAACCCCGTTGAGATCCAGATCTCATTTTCCAGAGGGACCATCGTGAAGCTTTACTTCTGTGCTCCACCTCAAACTGAGACTTTAATGTGTTCATTTTGATTCAAAACATACAGGAAAAAATCATCACCATTCTGCTGGTAATTGTTCATATTTCTGACTGAAATCTGCTTTGTTACACTGCAAATGTTTGTGGAAATCAATTTTAGTCTTAGTCAGAAAAAAAAAAAAACTAGATTTATTTCAATTCAACAATACTTAATTTATCCCAAAAAGAGAAATTTAATGTTGTCATAACTGATGTTATCCTAGTACAGTGGTTCTTAACCTGGGTTCGACTGAACCCCAGGGGTTCGATGAGTCGGTCTCAGGGGTTCGGCGGAGGTAAAGACACACTGTGTAAAGTCGTGATGACGTTACATTGCTGAGCCAATCAGAGCTGCGGAGAATCACTGACTGAAGGAGTTCCACTCTCAGCGTGGATTTGAACTTGTGTCTTTAATTACGTCAGCAAAACTCACCGTTTTTACCAAATTCTGTAGCTTTCGGTGTACTTCTAAATCTGCTCTTTAGTCGCATCTTTTCGGGATTGGTACTGCCTCTAGTGCCGTGGGGGTGGTAACACAACTAATATAATTACATTACTAAATCAAAGTAAAGATTTACTTTACATTGAGAGATGTCATAAACATCTCTCGATGTTCATGACATCGAGAGAAAGTCATAAACAAGACTTTCTCTCGATGGCCAACCTGTTGAAACTGTGGCAAATTTTAAATACCTTGGGTCGTTCCTGTCAGCTCGACTTTACTGAAAACACTGACTATATTTTGAAGAACTGTTCTCAGAGACTCTACCTTTTAAGAAGACTTAGTAATCATGGGGTGCCCTCTGTCTTGAATTTGGGGGAAAAAAATCATATTTTATTTATCACTACAGAAGGGTTCAGTGAATGTGCATATGAAACTGGTGGGTTCGGTACCTCAAAAAAGGTTAAGAACCACTGTCCTAGTATCTTCACAGATACATCACTTGAATGGTGATGATGTGAAGAGGAATGATCTCCAGCAGCAGTCAGGCTTGCAAGTAATCTGAAGAGGCCTTGGTTTGAACGTCCTCCTCTGAATCCATATGCCAGCAGAAAATATCACGTCAGATTATTTAATCAGTGATTTTGCTGGTAATTAAAGCTCTGCTAACACTGAATTTTGTCACTGCATGTTGCCAAACCTAAAATACTGGATGGATAGATGGACGGACGGACAGATGGCAGAAAAGGAAGGAAGGAAAACTGGATTCAGTTCAATTCAACAATACTTAATTTGTCCCAAAAGAGAAGACAGAAAGAAAAGAAGGAAGGCCATTAGAGGATTAATGTCCGAGGATTAAGGGACTGAGACAGAGGCTAAACATTTAAGTTTCTCACTTAAAGAAACATTTCATTTGAACATTTAAATGGATTCAGATTAAATATTTACATTTAATCTGAACCTGTTCACCAGTGACTGTAGAACAATCAATATGTTACTTTGTGACTGGACAAAAGTAACATTAGCAACTCACCCTGGTTACAACTCTGTACGTAATGAAGGTCTCAATAGCAGAAATGTGGCTCTCTGGGTTGTCAACGGTAACAAAGATGTCTTTATTAATGGCACCTTGCTGCTCCTCTTCATTCTCTTCATCCAGTCGGAACTGGTTCACCATGGAGTCAGGAGAGTTGGGCATGGGGTTGCCATCAGCCAGGGACGTATTCTGGATCAACAGACAGTGTGGCTGCTGTTAGCTTAGGCAATGCTTTCATAAGGGAGGGCTGATCCAGACAAATGTTTAAAGCAACCTGAATGTTTAACCATGATTAGTAGGTGGAACAATACACACCTTCTGAAGGAGAAAAGAATAAGAGATGACAAAATGACCCTCAATTTGTCCAGTCCTCACAACATTGCACTGTTTCCTGTTAACTGAGCTGACAGCAGCAGTGCAGCGGCGCAGCAGCAACACGTTAGAATCTGAAGTGTTTACAGGTTCCACACAGGTCCTCTCATTCAAATCACTCTGTTTATGTATATATCAGTGAACCATGGTGTGCTGCCTGTAGGTCTGCTCAGAACCTGCTGAGGTCAGCAGGAAAACTCAGACATCTGCAGCAGACAGAGGTCTCACTCTGAGCCTTTATTAACTGACAACATTAAGTCAATTCAAGACAATTCCTGAATTTTACTCTGACCATGAGATCCTTTTAAACAGGGGTCCCCAAACTTTTTCCTGTGAGGGTCACATAACTTTTCCTTTCTCTGGTGAGGGGCCGAAGTCATTTTGTAACAGAAAAAGTGTGACGTTTGCAGGAGTGCCTAAATGTAAAATTATATTGTTTTCCAGAAAGCACGATTAAATAACATTCTCTGGGTTCTTCACAAAAAAATCCAGTAAGGATTATAGTCCGTATTTTCCGAACTATGAGCTGCACTGGCCAATAAACCACAACCCAAACGTTTATTTTTATTTTTTTTAAACTAGTAAACATGCACATATAAGCCGCAAATATCTCTGCTGCTCCAGGTTTTCCACAACGATGCAGCAGCAGCAGAGGAGGGCGGACACCCAAAATTTGAGTCATAAGTCAATTGATTATCACATTTATTATGGTTGAAAAAGAAAAAGTTGCCAAGTTTAGATTTAACTGAACTGATTACGGTAGTTTCTGAACGGTAACTGTAACAGTAAAAGTGCTGATCCTTCGTGTCTGCTACTATACTAGTATGTGCTAAATCAGTGGTCCCCAAACTTTTTATTACTTGGAAATTTTGTTGCGGCCTGTGGGTGGGGGGGGTTAGAATAGGGGGGGATGAACAGTCAGATAAGGCTTCTGCATGTTGGTGTTCCCACTAAATCCTGAATATGCCCTATTTGGGTTGTCTTGGCCCTTTTATCGCAGTGACTGCGATAAAAGGGCAGTCACTGCCCTTTTATCTGAAAAAAACTGAAAAAGTCAGCTTTTCCTGA